CAGTTATTGTATATTCATTTATATATATGTATATATTTATTTATATATTTATTTTTATATTTACTTTTATATATTTATTTGTATAAGATATATTTATATATATATAGTGTATTATTATTTTATATATACTGTAATTATTTATATATTTATTTATAGGCCTATATATATTTATACATGTGTTGTATATTTATTTGTATATCTATTTATATATATATATTTATATGTATTTATATATATTTATATATTTATTTATATAATTATTTAATTTTTTTATATATTGTTTGTATATTTATTTGTGTATTTATATATATATATTAATATATTAATATGTTCATATATTTATTTCTCCAATACGTTGAGTTTCAAGAGAGATATCAGCAATTGTGTGTCGGAAGGTGAGTTTTTTAGCCAAATCATGAAAATTTTAAATTGCTCTAACTCATCAGAAAATGCTGGCGCGGAGCCAAAAATTTCACTGTGGGGTTATCTCAGGTAGAACCCTCAACATGCAAAATATTGGGCGATTTGAAGGGGGTCGGGCAAAAAAGTGTGTTGGATTCATATGGAATGACTCCTTAGTGAAAATGAAGTCCGCTCTATATCCAAATTTCAGGAAATTATACGTTTTATACATGCACTGACGTGGGAATTTTGTTTTATGTTGTTTGCTGAATGGTCTTCTTTAAAAATATTACAGTCTAATATGACCACATCGGAAAGTCCATTCTTTAAATGTTTAATAGATAGTGCAGAGAATTATTATTCCATATTATAACCAACATATTTAGAATTAATATTGTTTATCAAAATCATTATACACATGTTAAATCCAATTGAAAAAAAAATTAATATACAAAAATACGTTTTCATTGCTCGCGCCGAAGTGGAACGATTAACCTAATAATCTTGTTAATAATGCCGTTCTAACATTAATCTTGTGACCCCAACTTTTAAATTGTAACTTCAGAAAAAAATAATAATGCATTTTTATTGTACCGCCACCAGCTGGGGAGGTAATTAAATATGCATAAAATAAAATAAATAAATAAATACATGCCTTCTGTGATTGGTTGATTGCCAACATTTCAATGCTTAATGGTTGGATGGTCGGATATAATAATGAGTAACTCTCATAATAATTTCATATTTCGAAAAATTGTTTGGAGAATATGACCACGTTCCAAGATAGACTACATCCACAGGGTGCCCATAAGCCAAAATTTCAAAATTGAATAAATTGCGTTTTTTTCCCAAATTACGACAGACTGAGTAGATTAGGCCTACTGGTTAAAATGTAAAAAATAAAGATTTTATTTTTAAATCACAGAAAATCACAAATGTATATTCAGTACATTCTCGAATGTCTTGGAAATGTGGACCTATCAAATTTAGTTGGGTGCGTTATACACACTCTTCGTAACACCCCACCTTACTGGATATACTGGTCTGGAAACTTTACATTGTACCTGCCAATTAAAACAGTTTTATATGCTTATTAGATATCTTCTCAATTTCCCAGTATTTAAAAAAAAAATCTTTTTCCACTTCCAACACGGTTGACATGTCAACTAGACAAGGTGTTTATTTTTAAAGTAGAGAAAGTATTGCATGTATTATGTAAATTGAAATAAAAATAATAATAATAATAAAATTTATAATAATTGGCCTACTGGATGTCGGTATTGGTCCTGGTATGTTCACTTTCAGTTAATTCAGTACCTGGTCAATATGTAGATATGTTTTGGTAAATGCATTCATTCGTGAATAAAATGTTGCGATACAAAAAGTATGTGTAAAATACATATACATTTTCTTTCTTCCCGACGAATTTTGCTTTTTTTTTTCTCTCCAACGGGGGACCCCCCCCACCCATTGGCGCCACCCCTGATCGGCGCCCGACCTCGCCCACGTTGGTCTTGTTGGGAAAATCTGTAACACGAGAGGCTGGCTGACATAGCTTCTCGATCTTCCTTTTTCTTTTCCAATCTCGGGAAATATAATTACTCTGTGATTAACCTTCTAATTTTCTTAACTCAAGTAATTAAAATAATCGCAATACGAGCAAAACATGAGCTCCTCTAAGACTTCACCCCTCATTATATTATTAATATATGTCTTAGTTAACGCTCATTTACAGAATACAGACTAAATTAACCCGAAATGCAATAACTATTTATGCGTGCAAAACCCAGCACATTTTTCGAGAAACGTATAAGTTCACGGTATTCTGATCAGGGGTGGCGCCATCCAGGATTTGCCCGACAGGGGGGTTGGGGGTCCCCGACGGGGGGAGGTGTCAGATTTCCCCTACGAAATCAAAATGGGCGTGGTCGATCTTCGATTAAAAATGGTTCCGAAAGTGGTCCCCGAAAATGTAGACAATTTAGGGGTTTCAAAGGCTTATTTAATCGATTTTAGAGTCTACTAATATGTAAAAAATAAATATAATATTTTTTTCTCCTCGACGAATTGTGCTTTTTCTCCCCGACGAGAACCCAGCAGGTCTGTCTAGGCCTAGGGCCTAGCACTACCTCTGTCTCTTATACACATCTAGATGTGTATAAGAGACAGCGCCACCCCTGATTGTGATCCACTCCAGCATTTGTCCTTTCCTCCTGACTCCACTGAAAATACTGTAAAGTAAATTTATAAAGTAAAGAAACACACAGTTACCTAAAAAAATAATTAAAATAGAGTAGACCAGGAAAACAATTAAAGTAGGCCTACACTCTCACAGCCATAATATGCAAGTTAAAAACTCCCGGTACTTTTATTAAGACGTGAAATGAATAGGGAGCTAACCGAGAATGTAGTAAACAGAAGACAAAGATATTGTATTACGTGCTTGAAGACGTTTTTCTTGTTCAAGTAATGAACTTGAAACAACATTTCTTTCAGGAATGTATCACTCATCATTAGCAATAATAATGAACTCTTAGAACTTTGAGTATACCAAGTATTAAATAGATTTATGTATGATAATACAGGTAATCTCTATATACAATGCAGAAACGCTGAAGCTGATCAGGTAATTTTTGAACAATATCTGTAGTTACAGACTTTACATACCATAAGACTGTGATCATGTGAAATTGATTCCAGTACTAGAAGACGCTCCAAACGAGTTGGGTTGGTCTAGCTGAGTAAAGCTAGTCGGTACGATGTGTTGGTACATTGTTGTTCTCCTTGTGCTTCCTGTATCTATACTTCATTTGGTGGTTGCTATTCCGGAGTTAGAGTGTAGTTTCGAAGAAGATTTCTGTGGTTTCTCTCAGAGAGAAGAAGAATATGGATGGATAAGAAGGAACACAAGCGTAGCTAAGCAACCAACTGTAGATCATACTCTCGGAACAAAATCTGGTAAGCAATTGTGAAATTTGAAATGTGGATTCGAATCCGTCCGAGCCACTGGGCTACCAGGTTATTTTCTGCAACAAGCTGTCTACAGGCCCGTAGCCTGGGGGGTTTTATGGTTCGGGCGAATCCCCCTTTTCTAGCGAACCCCCCTGTTTTCTAGCGAACCCCTTCGAATTTTTGAATGAGTCCCACTCGGACGGAATGTCTGTTTTTAACTTACCCAGTATTAGTATTAGAAGTTCGGAGATTTAAATTGAACGCAACTCCGGCAAACCATGACTTTACGATAGCTCACATAAGGATCATGGCAAACATCGACAAAAACTTTCACTGGCCTTTGGCTGAATGTTTGTAAGAAATGTACCAACCCGTAACGAAACCGCTGCTCTCTTCCTGAATAGTGATCGTAACTGAACAATAATGATGCAGCAACACGCTTGGTCAACTTATAAAAATTTAGAGTCTTCAGTTGTTTGCCCATAAAACAAATTTTGGAGTGTTATACAGTACGATTTCAAAACATTGTCATCGTAAAGAAACAGCTATAATATTGAAAACAAACAACTTGAAACAAAATCGGTGTACGGATTTAAATAAATATTTACAATAGATTTTAATGGTCAACTTGTTATCAAATTTTACGACCAAGTTTTACATACATTTGTGAGTGACGGTGTGTAATAGACATGCAAAACAAACATTAGCGGTTAGCTGTACAGTATAATATCTTTGAATATCATTTTAGACTGATTCATTCATATGCTTGGTCATCTTCTAATCATTTAGAATTCAACAGTTTTTAATAGGTCCGTATCTCTACACTTCTAGACGTGAGTATCAAATTATAGTTGCCATAGACCCGGTTTCATACACGCTCGCTTAAGAAAATTTCAAAGGAAACTGTTTTCCCAATTTTTCTTATTGTTAAATACTCCTATGCAATACTGTAGGCCCCTCTGGTATAAAATTGACAGATCAATTAGACACTGCAAAGATCGATTATGCCCTTTTATATAATAAGGCCATAGGCCTAATGTGTGTTAAATACTGACTGTTAATATCGAATGGGTGAAATTGCGCACAAACTTCAAATTCTTGGCCTAACATACAATGCCAGAGGAAAGGGATCACGTTTTAATCACCAAAAAGGATTTTCCACGGACGCACAGAGTAGGCCTTCTAATATTATGGCCCAAAGTGAACGAGTTTCTGGTTTCGAAAATCCAGACACTTCGTTAAGCCAAATATGTAAAAAATACATATAATATTTTTTTTCTCCCCGACGAACTGTGCTTTTTCTCCCCGACGGGGTGGG